ACTGCTTTGGCAGGAGATGTGGATTTGGAGCCTGGCAGGGGCAGGATTCAAACCTAAGTCTTTCATAGGCAGGGCAGAGTTTCTGCCACAAGCTCTGTGGTCTGTGTCCTGTTCACTTCCTGCTGGTGCAGACTGGAGTACTGGGTTTTGTCATAACCCCGAAGGAGGATAGAGCAGAGGGTCTGGGCAGAGCAAGGTATCTGTTGTGGAACAGGAGTTTATCTCTGGCCAGATCATTCTGTACCATGCCCTGTGCTGCCATTCAGTGTCCTGGTCTGGCTCCAAGCTGCTTGAGCCGTTTGCAGGGTGGCTGCTGGCTTCCTGGGGACCCCCAGCACAGCTCTGAGGGCACGCTGGCACTAATTTGCTTGGTGCAGCACTATGCTGAGAAGCACTAATTTGCTGAGTGAAGCCCCGTGCTGACAAGCCTGGGTTGCTTTTACTTACAGAGTTGACAAGAAGGCATTAGTCTGGGGTGGGAGGTCTCTGTTCAGCTGGGTTGGAAGGATCCCTTCTGTCAGCAGCTCAGCTCTCCTGCAGGTGAGGAGGTGACAAGATGCTTTGCCATAAGGTGTCATGTCAGTGTTACATGCCTAGACAATCTGGAGGCTCCTGCTCTACTTCTGTCTGGTCCCTTCAGTCTCTTTGCCCATCTGTTCTCCCTTTTCCTCCTCTGTCCAACTTTACTCTCCCTCTCTGTGCCCACTACACCCAGGATGCTGGAGCTGCACTTGTCATCCTTGCTTTTATGAATCCATCCCCACTCTCTGTGCTTGGAGCCACTCACCTGCCACTGTCCCAGGGAAACTGGGTGGCTGTTGCCCTCTTGATGGCAGCAAGTGCCTGTGCTCAGCAGCTGGAGACAGCGTGCAGGGCCCCTTGGAGCAGGCAAAAGGGTGACTGGCAAGTTCAGAGCCAGAGGAGTTTCAGGATGAGAAGCTCTTCTCCTTGTCCTGTTGCTGTAGAACCAGTCCTTCCTTGGTCTGACTTTAGTGGTGATGTGGTGGTTCCAGCAAGGAGTGGCTTTGTCAGGTAGGTGGCCTTCCACTCTCTGCTGCTTTCCAGTGCTGTTGTCCCTGCCTCCCTGTCCCACAGGCTACTCCTGCCTGACCTAACCTGATAACCTTCCCTTGTGGGCCTCAGGAGAGGGCAAGGTGATCCCCAATGCATTCTTTGTCCCACTGTCCTTCCCAGCTCACCGCCTCCAACCACGTCAGTAACTTTACGGTCAATTACAATGTCACGGTGGAGATGATGAATAAGATGAAGAACCTGACTGTGGTGGGTGTCCTGCCAGTCCTCCCTCAGAACAGCACCGTGGAGCTGACAGCAAGGGTTCGGGTTGATTCAGCTGTGGATGCTCTGTTCCTGTGAGTCCTTTGCAAGTTGCCCAAACTCGGGATCATGCTGGGTGTAGCTCTCCTGTCTTGCCTGCACTGTTTCCCCTCCCAGGGCCAGCTGATGTCAAATGGCCCATTTCTCAGTTGCTCTTTAGTTAATTTGAAATCCCTGCAAATGTGGTTCAGTCACACTGGCTGGGACCTGTAGTTCAGGTTAGAAGACTTTTCTTTTAAAGGATTGCAGACTTGCTTTAATACTGGGCTCCTGCTCTTCATGCCTGTGCTGTACTCCTCTCACAGCAGAAGTTCCACAGCACTGGGGACAGCTGCTGCTTTCATCCTTGGCATTACGTTGTCTGTGGCTTTTCTGAAAACCCAACCCTGAGCCTGGGAGACAGTCTGGACCAGGCCAGGGCTCCTGGGGGGTTTCTGCGATTCTCCTGCTGTGCAGTGTAACATGGTTTGCATGTTTCCCCAGGTGGGATTTTGGAGATGGTGTCCAAGAGACATACCTGTTCACACCTCCCTACAACAAGTCATTCCTTGTTCCTGATCCCAGTGTCCACGAGGTTGTGATTGAGCACAATGTTTCACATGTCTATCAAGAGCCAGGTAAGATCAGAGTTGTTCTTTGGGCAAGAAGGGGCTCAGAGGTTTTTGTTGCAAGGGGGTTACAAGGCACCTTCCAGTAAAACCATGGCTTGAAAGTCCTTAGCTCACTCCTGGGCAAAAAGCCAGAGTGATTGGAAGTCCCCAGCAATTGCCATCCTCTACAACCGCAGGAGAAGGTTGTCCATGCTGTAAGAAGCAGATCCATCTCACACAGTCCCCTTTTTGGGCAGTCTCAGCAGACAGATGGGTGCTGATGGGGGGATGGGGAGCCCTGCTGTGGGCAGTGGGAAGGGGGGCTGTTTGGGGAACAAACAAGAAGAAAATCTTCTCCCAGTGTCTGTGTTTGGTCCTGACGTACATAGCCTGGTTGTAATTCCTCCTTGCACTACTGAGGAAACTGTTGCATGAACACATCATAGCATCATAAAATCATTTTGCTTAGAAAAGACCTTTAACATCATCAGGTCCAACTGTTAACCCAGCACTACCAAGGCCACCACTAACCCCTGTCCCTCAGCACCATGTCCTCATGACTGGCCTTTTTCTGCTCTCTTCCAATGCAGGTGAATACATCCTGATGGTTCTTGTGTCAAACCAGTTTGAGAACCTCACCCACTTGGCCCCAGTTCAGGTCCACAGTTACCTGGTGGATGTGAAGATGGAAGCAGAGGAGGATGTTTTGGTTGTGAACCGTCCGGTCACCTTCAGAGCTGATCCACTGCCATCTCCTCATGGCGTGGTGTACACCTGGGACTTTGGGGATGGGTCCTCACAGTTCACAGCCAGCCAGCCTACTGTGACCCACAGCTACCCCAGGAGAGGGGTGTACAACGTCACCGTGACAGCCAACAACACTGTCAGCAGTGTGGAGACAGTCGAGTGCTACCAAGTGTTTGAAGAGATAACTGGGCTCCGTGTTTCTGCAGAGGAGGCAGCAGAGCTGGGGGCCTCTGTGACCCTCAATGCCTCGGTGCTGACAGGGGACAGCATCACCTGGATATTTGACATGGGGGACGGGACGGTGCTGAGGAGTCAGCAGCCTGTGGTAGAACACACGTACGTAAAGGACATCAACTGCACTGTGAATGTGACAGCTATGAATCCTGTCAACTCCATCTCCCAAACCGTGCCTGTTCGGATCTTTGTCCTGGAAGTGCTCAAGATAGAGCCAACTTCTTGCATCCCCGAGCACCCCGACGTGCAGCTCACTGCCCACCTGACAGGGAGTCCTGCTTTTGAAGAGATAACTGGGCTCCGTGTTTCTGCAGAGGAGGCAGCAGAGCTGGGGGCCTCTGTGACCCTCAATGCCTCGGTGCTGACAGGGGACAGCATCACCTGGATATTTGACATGGGGGACGGGACGGTGCTGAGGAGTCAGCAGCCTGTGGTAGAACACACGTACGTAAAGGACATCAACTGCACTGTGAATGTGACAGCTATGAATCCTGTCAACTCCATCTCCCAAACCGTGCCTGTTCGGATCTTTGTCCTGGAAGTGCTCAAGATAGAGCCAACTTCTTGCATCCCCGAGCACCCCGACGTGCAGCTCACTGCCCACGTGACAGGGAGTCGTGCTGAATACATCTTTGACTGGACTTTTGGAGACGGCTCGTCCAACGTCACCGTCAGCGGGGACCCTGTGGTGATGCACAACTTCACCCGAAGCGGGACGTTCCCCCTCTCCCTGACTCTCTCCAGCAGGTTTAACAAGGCTCACTACTTCACCAGTGTCTGTGTGGAGCCAGAGATTGTCAACGTCACCCTTCTCCCTTCCAAGCAGTTTGTGAGGCTCGGTGAAGAGAGCAGCTTCCAGGTCAGTGCCCTGCCCCTCTACCAGTACCGCTACCGCTGGGATTTCGGGAACAATGAGTCCACTAGATCAAGTGGGACTGAAGTCACCTACACCTACAAGAACACAGGGGTCTTCCTGGTCACAGTGACCGTCTCCAACAATGTCTCTTTCAACAATGACACAGCGTTTGTGGAAGTCCAGGAACCAGTTGGGATAGCAAAGATTGAATATAATGGGACAGACGTTTTGGAGCTGAACCAGGTCTACCTGTTCTCTGCCAGCATGAATGGGACCAAAGTGAGCTACTGCTGGGACTTTGGAGATGGCACTACTCAGCCTGGGCAAAGTGCTACCCACTCCTACAACAGCACTGGCCATTACACCATTAGTGTGATGGGCCAGAATGATGTGAGCTTTAATGAGACCATCATCGATGTCACAGTGAAACGCCGGCTCCAGGGGCTGACCATCAATGCCAGCAGGACCGTGGTGCCCCTGAACGGGTCGGTGAGCTTTGTGGCCACACTGGTAGCTGGCACTGCCACCCGCTACTCATGGATCCTCTGTGACCGCTGCACTCCTATCCAAGGCTCCTCCACCATTTCCTACACTTTCCGCTCCGTGGGGACGTTCAATGTCATTGTGACAGCAGAGAACAAGATCAGCTCCTTGCAGGACAGCATCTATGTCTACGTGCTGGAGCAGATTGAAGGTCTGCAGGTGGCTAGCAGTGACCTGGTGGAGGGCATGTATTTCCCAACCAACAAAACACTCCATTTGCAGGCAGTGGTGAGAGAGGGAACAAACATCTCTTACAGCTGGGTGGCCCAAAGGGATGGCAATGCTATGCAGACCTTCACTGGGAAGACCTTCTCCTTGAGTGTCCTAGAAGCTGGAAACTACACTGTCTATCTGAAAGCCACTAATATGCTGGGATATGCAACTGCTAACAGGACACTGGAGTTTGTTGAAAGCATTGGTCTCCTGAAGCCTCATGCCTTCCCCAACCCAGCTGCTATTAATGCCTCTGTTAACATAAGTGCCACGGTAACCAGGGGCACTGGCATCACCTATGTTTGGTACCTGGAGGATGGCTTCTCTCCTGTCACCTCTGAGCCCTTCATCATACACTCCTTCCAAAGCCCTGGGGTGATAGAAGTTGTTATTGGAGCAGAAAACAAGCTGGATTCAACCAATGCAACAATTTATGTCTGTGTGGAGGAGGTCATCGAGGGGCTGAGCATAGGGACTGCAGAACTGGACTGCAGGTACGTCTCCTCAGGCTCCACGGTGGTCTTTGAGGGGGAGCTGCAGAAAGGGACAGAAGTGACGTGGCTTTGGGAGGTGCCAAATGGCACGTTGAGTGGGCAGTCCGTGGCAGTCCTGTTCCCCACCGCGGGGTTTTACACCCTCCACCTGAACGCATCGAACGACGTCAGCTGGGCCCTGGCCAGCAGGAACATCTCAGTGCTGGACAGGATTCAAGGACTGGAAGTTCTTGCCAGCAAGAAGGTGGTGGAGCCAGGGGAAAGGGTCACCTTTGTGATCAGGATGTTGTCAGGTACCTCTGTGAGTTACTTGGTGAGCATCAGTGGGGACTACTCTGTGGAGCTCAATAGCTCCAGGTACACGCACGAGTTCACCAAGAGTGGTGATTATTTGGTGACAGTGACAGTGCAGAACCAGATCAGCATTGCACATGCCCAGGTGCTCATCTCTGTCCTGGAGGCCATCCACGATGTCAGGCTCCTGAACTGCTGTGAGGAGGGCATACCCACTGGCACGGAGAAGAACTTCAGTGCCCAGGTGGGAAGCGGCTCCCGTGTGTCATTCTCCTGGCAGTTCTCCCTCTGGAAAGAGCAAGGCCGATCCGTGGTCACTGTGTCAGGAGAGACTGTTTCCTACACTCCAGAAGCTGCAGGGCTGCTCAAGATTCACCTCCATGCCTTCAATGACTTGGGAGGTGTCAATATCACCAGAACCATCCATGTCCAAGACCCCATAGTGCAAGTCTCCCTCCTTGCCTCCAATGCCTTTGTCAACAGGACAGCGCTGTTTGAAGCAGCGGTGGTGCCCAGCAGCAGGAGTGTTGAGTTCCTGTGGACCTTTGGGGATGGCTCTTCCACTCAAATGACCAGGGTTCCAGTGGCCAACTATTCTTACCTGAGCCCTGGGGATTACCTGGTGGAGGTGAATGCCACCAACCTCATCAGCTTCTTCATAGCCCACCTAACTGTCACTGTCAAGGTCCTGGAGTGCGAGGAGCCGGAGGTGGAGTTGGCCCTGCCCCCTCAGGTTGTCATGAAACGGTCACAGAGGAACTACCTGGAGGCACAGATTGACCTCCGAGGGTGCATCAAGTACCAGACAGCCCACCTGTGGGAGATCTACCAAGCACCTAGCTGCATGTGGAACTTGGATAACTCCAGCCGGATCCATCTGCCAAACGTTGATGTGAACAGGCCCCAGCTGGTGATACCAAAGCTTGCCCTGCAAGTTGGGAACTATTGCTTCATCTTTATTGTCTCCTTTGGAGACACCCCACTGTCCAAAAGAATCTTTGCCAATGTAACTGTGATACCGAGTAAGCTGGTCCCCATCATTGATGGGGGGTCATACCGGGTCTGGTCCAACACTCAGGACTTAATCTTGGATGGGGAGAAATCCTATGACCCGAACTTGGATGATGGTGAACAGACTCCGTTGTTGTACGAATGGTCTTGTACCTCCTCCTCCAAGGTAAGAGCAGTTTTATAGTCATTTGGGAGCCCCAGCTGCACAAGGGCTCCACTACAAACATGTCAGGGTTGAAATGGTGTTGAGAGGAGCTTTTGGGAGCATCCTGAACAAAGCTGCTCCAGAAGGAGGGTTGCAAAGGTGTTCCAGTGCTGCAGTCCCTGGGCAGGGCAGAGGTGGTGGCACTGGAAGCTGAGACATTCACATGCTGCTTCCTTTGTACTTGGCTTCTGGTTCATGGTTTCAGTGTCACTGCTTCCATAACCTGGAGGCTTTACAGAGCTGCTGGTTCCAGCCCAGGGGCTGAGGGCTCTGGTCCTGCTCCCATTAGCAGTTCAGTGTCTCTGATTTTAGCAGGGGACAAAGTTAGACTTTGGAGGAGTCAAGTGGCCACAAGTCATGGTCACTGTCCTTAAGTGGTCTGACCCTCCAGTGGTAGAAGGGCAAGGGAGAACTGCCCTTCAAATTCTGACAGGAGATCAACCTCCAGAATGTTTTTTTGATTGAATGTGGAGGTTTTTGTTTGTAAAGTCATTGTTTTCTAGCTTTACCTCAAAAGAGAAAGCTGTGGAGGGTGAATGGACTTTGGAGTTTAATGTGAACTTTTGGGGTTGTTTTGTAATGTTTATAATCTATTTAATGAATTAATTGCTGTAAAATAAGAACATGAAGCTCAGATGAAATACAAGATTATTCCAAGTACTGCTAACTAACCTGAAGAACAGGATAATGTGCTTTATTATCCACACACCCCCCCATGTCTCCCACCCCAGTGGTGACATTGCACAGTAAGATCTGAACCAGGGATGTTGTGTGGGTCTGAATGTTTTGGCTGTGGACTAACCCGACGTGCACCCGTACCAAGGAGGGTTTGAAAGTTCTTTTCTCCTTGCAAGCAGAGCTCGGCTGCAGGGTGCTCTCTGAATTTCAGTGCCAAGGAAGGAATTGTCACAATTTCCAAAGCTGTATTAGAAGCAGATGTGGAGTACACGTTCGACCTCACCGTCAGGAAGGAGGGTATGAGCCCCGAGGCAACAAACCAAACCGTACGTACCACAGACAGCGGTTGCTTTCTGTCCTCCTGTGCCTGGAGCTGGGCTCAGCTGTGCTGCAGGGCCATGGCCCTCTTTCTGAGGAAGCTTCTAGAGGAGTGTGCTGCTGGCTCAGGACAGTGCCCAGACACAGGGGCTGTCCTGGCTGCATCCCCAGCCCTCCTGAGTGCGGTGCTGGTTCAGCTGGGCTGTGCTGGTGAAGAGGAGGGGAAGGAAGGAAGGAAGGAAGGAAGGAAGGGGAAGGAAGCAGAGCTTAGGGCATGGCTGGGGCTCCAGACCAGATCCCATCCAGGCCGTTGGCAGGAACAGTCACTGGTATTTCCGTGATCTGTTTACCTTACACTGCCTTGGGCAGCACTTTTTGCTTGTCCCGCCAAGTCCTTTTAGCTTTGTCCTTCCTTTAGGCCTTGTGTTAGTCCCTCTCTGTTCAGAGCTGTGTTGGTGACCCAGCCAGGGCCGTGCTGGCCACTGTCCCTGGGACTGAGACTCTGTGGCCACAGATCTGCTGCAGGACAGCACAGGAGCCCGGGGTCTGTGCCTCTTCCAGCCCTCTTTGCAGTTCTGTGGTCTTCACTTGTCACCACACCAGGCACTTCCCTGATTTTTGCCCAGAGAAAGCTTCCTAAGGGCTGGTAACTTCATTTTACTGTCAACAATCCCTTTCATCCCTCCTTCTGACTTTAAGGAAGGATTTTTTTAAGTGCATGTTGTTTATGCTGCATTAAGCCTGACGCTGAGCGCGTCTGCAGCCCGACAGCAGGGATGGGCTATGTCAGAAACATTCATCCTGCTGCATTTGGCAATTAGAGATGTAGTTAGTCTGAAAGTGGAAACTCTTACTGCCTGGGTTTTAAACCAAAGCTGGAGGATAAAAAGAAAAATATGAAATTGATAGTCTTTCAAGGACATTCCGTTCTATCTGGTTTCCATGCATGAGCACAAAACAGTGATTCCAGTTTTGCAGGAAATTTGCAAATACTGTAGGAATGAATGAAGCTTCAGTGCTCCCCAGGTCAGTGCTGGGGAATATTTATCCTCTTTTAGGAGTCTGCCATATTAAACAATGTCTTCATTACCATCTTTGTTTGAATCCAGAATATTCATTATGCCAGGGCAGAGGGCTCTGTTGAGTGCTGGACAGCTTCGTTTCCTGGGGGATCCAAGGAATTTAGACAAAGTACAGGGGTCAGGGCTCAATAGCTGTTGTGTCTGAGCCACCCGTGCTTCTAAAGCTCTCCTCAGTCCGAGTGCTTTGCTGGGGAGGTGTGGTAGATGTCTTGGGTGCTGAACTAAAAGCCTGGAAGAACATGCTGCTCTCTGGAAAGGTGGTTTTCCAGGCTGCAGAGCGGGATGTATTAGATGCTCTGAGGGAGCTGGGTTTTCAGGCTGCTTCTACCATCCCTGCTGTCTCTGGGGGATAGAGGTGGTGTCAGAAATGGGGATGGTTCTGCACAGGCAGTGCACTCAAGGGCCAGAGGGTCAGGTCCTGAAACGTGGCAGGTGGTTCTAGTGCAAGCTCTGTAGATCAGAGCAGGGGTGGGGCAGACAGCCAGATCATCTTCCATAAACCCAGGCTCCCTGGCTCACCCTGAGCCCTCTGCTAGCCTGGTCCCATATAGAGACCTTCCAAGTCGAGGACAGGGACCCACAGCAGATCTGCTGTCACCCCCCCAGGTCAGGTGCTCCACAGCTGCAGAGGCAGGGCCAAGAGCTGGGCCCACAGAAGACAGAGGAGAGCTGCAGTCACTTCCCAGGGCAGGTGCTCACCAGATGGTTGGTCTGTGCTGTAATGGGGCCTTTCCTCCTCCCCCTTAGACTGCTCCTCTTTTCCAGACTCATTCAGATCCCATTTTCATAGGGTTCACAGCTGTCATGGATAGCTCAGTGAGCTTCATCCCCACCCACAGCACAAGCAGGACTTGCTGGGGATTCAGCCCAGGGTACCAGGGAGACATTCTGAAAGTGATTTGTGTTGTCAGAACATGTAAATAAAGTAAATTCAGATTTACCTAGATTGGCCCAGCCTGGCTTTGGGTGGCTCTTGAAAATCAGTGGCAGAAGAACTCACCCTGGCCAGTGTAAGAAAAGTGATGTATCTTAAATCTGACCTGAAATCCTTTGGAAATCCCTTTCTGCTGGTTCCTTAGCACAGACTGAGCTGCTGTAGAGTGATTCCTCTTTGCAGGGCCAGGTGCTGGTATGTCTGTTACCTGTTAGATCTGTATTTTTGTCTCAGGTCTTCTGATGGAGCCTCTTGCTTTCCCAGGTATTCATCAAGAGAGGGGGAGTCCCTATCGTGTCCCTGGAGTGTGTTTCCTGCAAGGCTCAGTCTGTCTATGAAGTCAGCAAGAGCTCCTATGTCTACCTGGAGGGGACCTGCCAGAACTGCCACAACGACTCCAAGATTGGGGTAAAGTCATCAGCAATGCTGGGCTTTGCTTCACCTTTGGTGGACTTCAGGGGGAAGGAGAGATTCAGAGAGGACAGGGTGGGAAGAGTTGTGTGAGAAGTAAAGTCCTGGGCCTAAACTGCCATAGAGAGGAAGAGAAATAATCTGGAACCCTAAATGCAGTGGCAGGTTGGGTCTGGTGGAGGGGATGAAGAATGCTGGCTGATACTGGTGTCTTGATCACAGAGCCCTGTGTGGAGCTCCCCTGCAGGGCCCTGCTGTGTCTCAGCTGCATGGAGGCCAGGAGAGCCTGTGAAGCAGGTTCCCCATGTCAGTAACCACTGGACCTCCTGTGAGATGTCCAGAGCTTTCCCTTGCCCTGAGCTATGCCTGTGTCCTCCATCAGTGTCTTGACCTACTCAAAGACAAGTCCTTGCTGGGTCATTTTCAAGCCAAGCCCACGAGTGACCTGCTTGTTTCACACAAAAGCCACTTTTTCTTTCCCTCTAAGAGATCTGTGGAGTATTTCCTTCTCCCTGCTGATGGACATCTTGCCCGTTACTCTGTTGGCTCAAGCAGAGGTGGAGCAGAGGTGGTTCAGTCTCCTCTGATCCCCCAAGTCTCTCTTGCTCTCCTCCAATTACAGATTCCACTGCACAGCATCTCTGCAACCTGTGGAGTGAAGCAGGTGGCAGCAGTGGAAGTCCTGTTGTGAGAGCAGGTCTGGATCACTCCCAGCAAACCCCCCGTGTTCTTGCAGGGCATTTTCTGACTGACTATCACACCATTCACTTGGTATCACAATTGTACATTTGTGCTATTAACAGTCCCTATCCAGGACATGTTCAACTTGAAGTATATAAAACATGGTATCCCGTGGAGACTCCTCCAGTACTTAATTTATTTCCTGTGTTTTGTATTCTGTATTATGAAATATTCTGTTGGAGGGTGATGTAATCCCAGAGACTAAAGTAGATCTCACAGTGGAAATATTCCCACCAGACATTTTGGAGAGGTTCCAGTTCTTGTTGCTGTAGCACACAAGACTAAAGCTGAATTATCAACTGCAAGCTTGGCAGACGCTCCCACTAGAAATCTGTTGCTTTTTATAAAAGACTCAATCTAAAAACATTTTAAGGACGTAACTTTGGATTTAAACAAAACCTCTGCTGTCTTTCTCCTCTGCATCTCTCCAGAGGTGGGCGGCGCACAGCTTCAAAAACAAGACTCTTGTCCTGGACAAAACAACGACCTCCACTGGTGACACAGGCATGAACCTGGTGCTGAGGCAAGGGGCGCTGCGGGACGGGGAGGGTTACACCTTCACCCTGCACATCACCGACCTGACCACGGGGGAGGAGGGATTCGCCTCCATCGACCTGCTCCCCAACCAGCCACCCGTTGGAGGGTCCTGCCGGCTGTTCCCCGAGGGACCCCTCAGGGCCCTGATGGCAAAGGTGCACTTTGAGTGTTCAGGTGAGGGCGCACGGGCGGGAGCTCCTCACGGGCAAAGGTTTCTCCTGACCGGTGTGTTCCCAGCTGATCTTCTTTCCCACAGATGTTTTCTTTACCCCGAGCTCCTACCCCAGGACGCTCTTGGCCAGGGCTGAGTTCAGAACTGGATCTTTCCATTTCTAATCCCCAGAGCTTAGAATGTGAGCAGCTTTGTCTGCCCAAATTATGGAGCCCTAAAACTCCGGGTAGTGAGTAGGCACTTCTTTTAATCCTAATTCATGCAGTGGAACAGTGAGAACCAGGGCAGACCAGTACTTGCAGAAGAAACTGGTATTTCAATGCAGTGAAAAGAAGATAGGTGCCCAAAACTGAGTCACATATCTGTGGGAAGGGTCAAAAGACAAAGCACTGGGGCCTCCTCTGCCATGTGGGCTGGATGTTCCCATCAGTGCTTACCTTCTCAACCAGCTGGAGAGACAGCAATGAGTCTAGCTTTGGAAAAGTGGCCTGGCTGACATCCTGTAGCCTTGGGCCGAGGAATAAGTGCCTCTGAAAACGATGTAATTCCCCAAATGAGTGTGGGAGATGAATGCTGTCTGTGCACAAATGCTGGGAAGCCACGCTGCAGAAGAGGTTTGAGTTCTGGTCTGGGGGGCTGGTCACCAAAGCTCAGCTTCAGCTGGGGGAGAAGCAGAAGTCTATTTGGCATGATATGGTTGTAACTTTGGTATGTGTTGAGCTACCCAGAATAACTATGCAATCAAACCTCTATGGAGTGGTGGGAATTTTAGCTCCTAGTGATTGTTTTGAAGCTGAAGTGAAATGCACAGGATACAGACCTGGTGGTTGCCTGTCCAGTGCAGTGAGCCCCGGCAGAGCCAGCACCTTTACTGCTGCTCACTGGCCAACCTGCAGGGAATGTCCCAACTGCCTGGCTCCCACAGGACTCCCCGTCATTCCTGGTAGCTCCAAGGAACCCTTTCTCCAGGTTTTATCCCAGATTCAGTCATTCCTGAGATGTTGAACTGCCTGAGGGCTGTGCTGAGCCTCTGTCTAACATCAGGCTTTGCAGGGCTTGGGCCAGGCTGCTCCCAGCCCCAGCAGAGATGTTCCCATTTTTATCTTGCTTGTGAACTCTACACAAATCCCTTTAGACTTTACAGAACCCCAACACCTGGGCAGAAGCACCTAAACCTCAGACAAATTCCAAGAGGATCAGAGCTTTACAGTGTAGACCCTTCAGCTTGGCACAGTCCTTAAGCTGTCCCTAAACGATGGGCACAACCTGTCCCGAATGGTGGGGACAGCCTGTCCCTCTGCCCGAGCTGGGGCAGCCAGGGGAGATGCCCCGTGGAGGGGCTGGGCAGGGAGGGAAGGGCTGGGCCTGGTGTCCGTGTCCCCGTCCCTCAGCCCGGGTGTCTTGCAGGCTGGCGGGACACGGAGGACGCGGCGGCCCCGCTGGTGTACATCCTGCAGGCCGCCCGGCGCCGCGCCGGCCACCACCACGAGTTCTGCGTCTACAAGGGCAGCCGAGCCGAGCACGGAGCCTTCCTGCCCCCCGGCTTCCAGGAGAACGGCTTCCTGGTGTCCGTGTCCGTGCTGGTGCAGGACCAGCTGGGAGCCACCGTGGTGGCCGTGAACCGGTAAGAGGCGCGGCCGGTGGGCTGCCCGGCTCAGCTCCTGGGTCACAGCCACGGCCTGGCCGCTGGGTCCCCATCCCGGGGGGCTCGGCAGGGCCTGGGGGAGAAGCCTTTCCCTCCTGGAAGGGGCTGCAGGCAGGAAGGCGAGGCGGGGCTCAGCAGAAGGGCAGCACAGACACTTCCAGTTTTGTGGGGCGTCGCTCAAGGGGGAGTCCTTTCCCATTAGTTACTGCTGCTCTGACCACCTGCGTCCCCCCTCGCCTTCCTCCCCGGCTCAAGAGCAGATTCTGCCCCCCTCCCCAGCCCTCGGTGTAACCCCAGTGCCTCTTCCCTTGGCAGCTCCATGGAAATCAGCTTGCCCGAGGGCTTCCCCAGCCTCTCCCACTGGCTCTACAATCAAACTGACACTGTGCTCCAGGGCTTAGTGAAACAAGCGGACCCTCAGCAGGTCATTGAGTACTCTCTGGCCCTCATCACCATCCTAAATGAGGTAAAGCAGCACCCTCTGCCCAAGAGGGGCCTCCAGAAGGCCTTGCAATTGCCAGTGATG